TAGTTGTCCAAGCTCTTCTTAAAAACTTCCAGTTTTGGAGGATTCACAACTTCTGGAGGCAAGTTGTTCCACTGGTTAATTAATTGTTTTGTCAGGAAATTTCTCCTTAGTTCTAGGTTGCTTCTCTCTTTGATTAGTTTCCATTTGTTGCTTCTTGTCCTGCCCACAGGGGCTTTGGAGAATAGCTGGACTCCCTCATCTTTGTGGCAGCCCCTGAGCTATTGGAAGACTGCTATCATGTCACCCCTAGTCCTTCTTTTCATTAAATTAGACACACCCAATTCCAGCAACCATTCTTTGTTTTATCCTCCAGTCCCCTAATCCTCTTTATTGCTCTTCTCTGCACTTTTTCTAGAGTCTCAGCATCTTTTCAAATTGTGGCTGACCAAAACTGGATGCAGTATTCCAAGTGTGGCTTTACGAAGATATTATAAAGTGGTATTAACACTTCATCTGATCTTGATTCTATCTCTCTCTTTATGCAGCCTAGAACTGTGTTGTTGGCTCTTCTTTCTCCCTCTGCAGAGGAGGAGGAAAGCACCTGCAGAAATCTTAAAACACACTCAAAGAGAGAGGAAGGGGTGAGATCAGCCGTGGTGGCACTCAATTCAAAGGTAGACCCAGGTTGTCCTCGAATTATGATGAAAATGGATGAATTATGATTGAAAATTTCTGTGGCTCAACAAGAAAGTTGTTCAACAGGTTTTGCCCCATTTTACAAACGTTCAGTTTGGTATTTTCTTGCAGATATTTCATTACCCAAACTAGGAAGCATTATCACCAATGGTAGTGTGCTACCGGTTCGGACTGGTTCACCCGATCCGGTAGTAAAAAAAAAAATCCTCCAACAATCGCTGAGAGGAGAAAGAAGAGAAAAGCACAGACAAAGCCCTGCACTTTTCTGTTCTTTCTGCTCCGGGCTGATTGGTACTGCAGGCCTCAGCTGGTGTGGGAAAAGCTGCACACATACATTAGGCGCATGCGTGCACGATCACCAAACCGGTAGTGGAACAGATAGGATCATCACTGCTGATCATCACTCACCCTCACTCTGATGTTGTTACCTAGTTTGGGTCATGAAACGTCTGCAAGCAAACAACCAAGCTCAGAGCCCACCTCATTTCAACCCTGAGCTACAAATATTCTCCTTTATTGGCAAGGGATTTATTCTTCAAGAAATATTAAATGGAGGCAGGAAGGTTCATGAGTGCTATCGTCTGGATTCTTCCTATTACGAGAATTCTAAGTTCAAAAGTACCAGCTATGAATTGCAATGAGTGTCTTGACTTTTTCTCTGTTTGGAAAAAGGAAGAGGATTCTCTTGGGCTGGATCATCCATTTTCGGAGGATTGCTGGAAAAATCTCGACCCAATATGGGGCTCAGAAGATCCCGCACCTCTTTCTTGAAATGACAAAAATAAGGAGGTCTTCTGTTAAGATATTCTAACTAATTAGGTCAGCGATAGAAGCTTGAGTTGAGGCATCAAGAGAAGATGAAGAATTTTGAAAATATGTCATGGTGCCACACTCATAAAATGGCCGCTGTTGCACCATGGCCAGCCAAATGGTAGGCATTGCTCTCCAATAGCAATAGCAATAACACTTAGACTTATATACCACTTCAGAATGCTTTACAGCCCTCTCTAAGTGGTTTATGGAGTCAACATATTGACCCCAACAAACTGGGTCCTCATTTTAGGATGGAAGGCTGAGTCAACCTTGAGCCAGTCAGGATCAAACTGCCAAATTGCAGGCATCTGGCAGTCAGTAGAAGTGGCCTACAGCACTGCACTCTAAGCACTGTGCCACTGTGGCTCATATAGCAATAGCACATAGACATATATACCACTTCACAGTGTTTTACAACCCTCTCTAAACGGTTTTACAGAGTCAGCCTATTGCCCAGCAGTGATATGTTAACAGTTCGGACCGGTTCAGCTGAACTGGTAGTAAAAAAAAACCTACTGGTACAGCCAAACCGTTTCCTCTAATAATCAGCTGAGAGGATAAAAGAAGTGACAAGCACCTGGATGGGTGGCTCCTTTTCGTTTCTTCATCCTCTCCACTGATTGGTGCGTTGGGGTGCGTGCACTTGCACGCAATCACCCACCCAACCGGTAGTGACCATGTAGGAACCCACTACTGCTATTTCCCCCAACAATCCAGGACCTCATTTTACCCACCATGGAAGGATGGAAGGCTGAGTCAACTTTGAGCCTGGTGGGATTTGAACTGCCAAATTGCAGGCAGCCGGCAGTCAGCAGAAGTAGCCTTTCAGTTAAGGGAATCATGCAGTTATTAAGCGAATCTGGCTTCCCCCACTGGTGTGGCTTGTTGGAAGTTGGCTGGGAAGGTCACCGATTGTGTTCACATAACCCCGGGCCACTGCCATTGTCGTAAATAAATAAGCAACCGAATCTCGATCACGTGGTTGTGAGGAGGCTGCAACTTACGGTTGTAAATGTGAGCAGCGATTCTACATGTTTCAATGCCGTTGTAACTTCCATTGCTAAATGAATGGTGGTAAGTTGAGAACTACCTGTTATAATTCTCACCATTCCCCTCCTGCCCCCGCCCCCCCAGTTAATGTAGCTTAATGGAAGTGATGGTTTTAACACTGCAGAGGGTTAGTTACAGTAACTTTCAGTTAAATGTCTATGGAGATTCTCAGTCATACAAGTCATAGTTGTCCTAAAGGTGCTTTTTTTCAAGAGGCAACTGGACTTTCTGGTTTTTCTTTGAAGACTTTTCGCTTCTCATCCAAGGAGCTTCTTCAGCTCTGAGAACTGAAGAAGCTCCTTGAATGAGAAACAAAATGTATTCAAAGAAAAAAACCAGAAAGTCCAGTTGCCTCTTGAAAATAAAAGCACCTTTGGGTTAACTTTCAGTAAAATTATATATTGAAAAAAACACTGTGGAAGGTATCAAACTGAAGAAATTATGGATGCATAACTTCATTAAGTTACTAGACCTTGTAAAAATAATCTCTCCTTTTGACTCAAACTCACCTCCTGACCGTCTATGGCAGAGGTCCCCAAACTTGGCAATTTTAAGACTTGTGGACTTCAACTCCCAGAATTCTCTGGCCAGCTGGCTGGAGAATTCTGGGAGTTGAAGTCCACAAGTCTTAAAGTTGCCAAGTTTGGAGACCCCTAGTTTACGGAGATTCTAAGTCCTCCAGGTCATGGTTGTTCCAAAGGTGCTTTTTCAAATGGCAACTGGATTCATCCAAGACGTTTTTTCCACAGAGGACTGCAAGGAATATAAACCCTTCCGTTCTCCATCATTCAGTCGGAACTGAAGAAGCTTCTTGAATGAGGAGCAAAACATCTTCAAGGAAGAACAAAGTCCAGTTGGTTTTTGAAAAAGCACCTTTGGCTCAACTCCTGACAATTTCATGGAGGTGATCATGGGGTTGTCTTGGCAGCATTAGAAAAATCTTTGACACAAGGTGTACTTCTATCTTCTGAGTTTAGCCTACAGCCCTCGAATACCCAGCAGTGTCCAGTACAATACTCATCAACTCTGGCCCTCTTTAACTACTTGAATGTCAGCCATGGATGACAAATGTTGCATCGTAGGTGGATACTAAAAGGATGAACTCCCCTAAAGTTTATCAGATGTTTAGACTGGGGAAAACAACACAAATGCCCACCAAATAGGCCTGAAATGTTGCTTTCTGTTGAAATTGGATGAATTCCCAAATAAAACCACCCCTAACATACTAAATAGATCATGGCAGCTCATTGAGAAACATGGTATGACCTTAAGGACTGGTGTCCTCAAAGAAGATGGCATCAATGTATAAATTGCAGGTAAGGGTAGTCCTCAACTTAGGACAACTGAGCCCAAAATTTAAGTGAGACATTTGTTAAATGAATTTTGCCCTATTTTATGACCTTTCTCGCCACAGTTGTTAAGTGAATCACTGCAGTTGCTAAGTTAGTCACATGGCTGTTAAGTGGATCTGTTGCTTCCCAATTGACTTTGCTTTATCAGAAGGTCGCAAAAGGTGATCGCGTGACTCTGGGGACATGGCAACTGTCATAAATATGAGTCAGTTGCCAAGCGGCTGAATTTTGATCAGGTGACCATTTGGGGATGCTGCAACAGTTGTTAAGTGTGAAAAACAGTCATAAGTCACTTTTTTTTTCCAGTGCCAGTTTGTCTGAAGGAAGCTGGAGCTGCCAGCCACTAAACAAATGGTTGTAAGTCGAGGATTACCTGTATCGTCCTTGTAATTTCACCTCAGACCATTCCATCCTGATCAATTTATTACATTTTTCTTTCTTTCTCACCAGATTCCAACAGTTCTGAATTCTGAAAACATTTAGATCACCAGGTGAATGCGTTCAGCAAATCCACCGATAATCGTATTTGAGGTATTTTCAAACGTGTTCTTAAAAGTGCAGGAAAAAAAAAGAGAGAGAGTGATGGGACAGACAAACACACACATGCAAAGAATGTGACATGAGCCATCATCTTCACCTCTTCCCCCCAGAATTTACAACACACACACACACACACACACACACACACACAAGAAGTACAGAAATAAAGCAATTAAAAACCCAGGTAGAAGTAATAAAAATAGAGAGAGAATTAGACTTGACGTATGAGGTAATCTTTCACATCTCGGGAAAGTGTTGGTTTCTTTTTTTCTTACACACAGCAGTTCAGCCATTTCAAGCCCGCCGAAGACAATCCGTGGTCAATGACAGGCAAGCAGAGACATGGGATGGAAAATTAAGGCTTCCTTCTGAATTTATATGAATTCCTTTGGTGCTTTCCTCCTTAGCCTAGCTGAAGGACCCCATGTCATTTTTAACCCTCTCCCCCAAAGTGGTTCGACTTGTAGGTTAGGCCTCAAATGAGCTCCATGGATGGAGTTGAAGGTATCTCAGATCACGGTCTGCCTTTCTGCCCCCATGGCACTGCTAGTAAAGGCAGTTCCTGAGTAACGATGATTATCTCTTCACTTGAGAATTCACAAGGAATTGCTATCCAAAGCGAAACTTGAGTCTGTACTTGACCGGTTTCTTCTGAGGAACTTTGGGCTTGGCTGGAAGGGCCACCGGTGGTCGTTTCTTCTCGGGGACAGCCACTGTGAAAGAAAGTTCGGGGGGTTCCGTTTGTTGGAACCGTGGAAGGAAATGAGTGGAGACATGCTGGGGTTTTACTCGTGGGCTGCACCCACGTTTGGCTTTGCCTCTCTTGTTCAAAGCCACGTACCACTCCCTTCCCGTTTTCACAGTCCTGTGAACTGCTGAGGAGTAGGTGTTGTAGCTGTTTTCTTCAAACCGCTCCCTGAACTTACAGTCATCGGTAAATTTGGCCTGAAAAAGGAAAAAAAAAAAAAGCAGGAATCAACAAAAAGGAGATTAATTTGCATTAGCATTAAATCTCATTACAGATCCCTCCTACTCAGAGGTGGTATTCAGCAGGTTCTGATCAGTTCTGGAGAACCGGTAGCAGAAATTTTGAGTAGTTTGGAAAACCGGCAAATCCCACCTCTGACTGGCCCCGCCCACCTCTATTCTCTGCCTCCCGAGTCCCATCTGATTGGCTGGCTCTTCATTCGTTGTCCTGCACAGGAGAATGGAGCTGGAAAGCAGGTTAGTGGGGTGGGGAGGGAAAGGGATTTTGCAATAACCTTCCCCCTGGAGTGGGGAGGGAATGGGGAGTTTGCAGTATCCTTCCCCTGCCACGCCCACAGAACTGGTAGTAAAAAAAAAATTTGAATCCCACCATTGCTCCTACTTTCTTTCATCTAATATTTAGTGGCTGTTCCAGAGCATCAGAACTCAAACAACCAAACCTGGTATCTTCCTTTCTTCTTTTTGGCTTTATGAAACTAACAAATAAAGGTATACTACAGGTAGTCCTCGTCTCACAACTGTTCATTTATTGATTGCCTGAAGTTACAACAGCACTGAAAAAAAGTGACTTAAGTCCATTTTGTACACTGATGACTTTTGAAGCATCCCACGGTCATGCGAACAAAATACGGTTGTTTGGCAACTGACTCATATTTATAATTTTAAATAATTTTAATGTGTACGTAAGTACAGTGGTGTCGACTGTCCAGTTGGTGAATCGAGAAAAAGAAACTCCTGGGACATTTTACCAAGAGTAAAAACCATTACTTAATAAACAACCAGCTCTGGGCTTCCCGCACAAAACGCGGGAATTTCATCCCCTTCTTTCCCTATGGGCCACCCCCAATTCATTATGTCCACCAATCATTTCTGTTCTGTTATGGGAACCAGACAACCATGCTGGGACATCTTCTCAGGGTATCCTTGCAGGGAGAGCAATGTCTCATGGGAACCGGTGATGCTTGGATGCCATTCTCCCCCACCCTTGCATTCCTTTCCATGCCTCTCCCCTTTCTTTGTTAAGCTAAGAGCAAAGTGGAATATAGATGAAAGTGCGAGGCAGTGTTGACAAGTGGATTGTGGTACTGAGTTAATGAAAGAACTAAGTGCGATGACATCATCATTAATCAAATCACGGATAAGAATGAAAAATGCTATTTCTGCAGGCACACCATAAGTTATGAGACATGGGATATGCTTGATGATTGGTTTTCAAGTATCTTATTGTGGGTAGGTGTCCATCTTCTACCTATCAATGACATCTTGGCTTGACTACCATATTGTGCTTTGCATGGGGCCATCCTTAAAGATGGTCAGATCTGTGCAGTAAAGAGGTTTAGTACTGTTCATAACACATATATACTGTGTTTCCCTGAAAATAAGACCCAACTGGGAAATAAGCCTAGCATGGTTTTTCAAATTGCTCATAATATAAGCCCTACTCCAAAAATAACCCCAGTTAATATCATCAGCCGGATGGATGCATTTATTACCACATTTCCCCCAAAATAAAACCTGACTGAAAATAAGCCCTAATGAGGCTTTTGGAGCAAAAATTAATATAAGACCCGGTCCTATTTTCAGGGAAACATGGTAGTATATCAGATCACGTTATTTGCAAATCCAAATTTAAAGGTACTATCGATCTAAAAAGTTTTAAGAGGTATTTGAAAACACATTCAACGAATTAATCTATAGCTTGCATCCAAATATTTATTGGTAAGTAAGTTCCAGTTATGTGTTAGCCTTGTGAGGTAGTTCAAATAAGGAGTAAAACCAGGAGTAGTAAGTCTGTCTTCATTGTAAGTCTATATTAACAGAATCTTGCAAGGTTCTAGTATTTCGCTCCTCCTTTCCACCTTGAAATGCTTCCCATACTCCTTCCTCTCCCTCTATGAACTATTTTACATGGTTGTCCAGTCTGTGGCTTTTCTTCCTATCTCCCAAGGTGATTCCTACATGCCATTACATCATAAGATCAATTAAATTTATCATGACTAATTAGAAATGGAAAAGCAAGGTTCCAATGATCTGGAGGGTTGAATATAGCCCCTCCAGTCCAAATCTTCATTTGAATATGATGGCCACCAAGTGAACTTTGGACTACACCAGAGATTAAAAACCTGTGAATCTTCAGATACTGCTTAAGTAAATTCTCATCTGATTGGGAATTATAGTTTGGGAATTATAGTTCTACATCTGGATGCTCAGTCACAGGTACCCATTCATTTTCTTGACCTCATAAAGAGAAAGGAGATGTTAAGATTCTAAACCAGGGGTATCAAACTCAAGGCTCACGGGCCGGATTTGGCCCCCAATGTGGTCGGATCCATCCCACAGGGCCATCCTGAAAAATTCAAGGAGCCAGGCTCAGATTGCTTTGACCCCGTCTACCTGCATCGCTTCGGCCCATCTACCCACTGCAAAGAGGAAACGTTGGGACAGTGTCGCTTCAGCCCAGTCTACCCAATGTGAGGAGTAAGCATGAGAGCAGTTTGGGGGGTGGTGTCAAGCTGGCCATGCCCACCCAGTCAGCCACACCCTGTGAGTGGTGTCAAGCTGGTGACACCCACCTGGTTGGCCCCACCCACCCAGTCAGCCACACCTGGCCGGCCCCCCCGAGGCTGATCTCAGCCCTGATACAGCACTCAATGAAATTGGGTGTGACACCCCTGTTCTAAACAATAATACAAGCTGTTTATTTTGGTAATCAACGCCCTTGACTGATCAATTTTCCACATTAACCTCGCTTTCATCTCCACCTGCATTTAACTAGAGAGAAAAGGAAGCAGCGGTTTTGAGGAAGCGCTTCCAAATGTTTCATTTCGTATCCTTCCCAGGGGTGGGCTTCTGGAGGTTCGCAGGGGTTCGGGAAGAGCCCCTAGCTAAGATTCTGTGCAGTTTGGAGAACCCCCAAATCCCATTCCTGGCTGGCTCCACCCTCCTCTCCCCTCCCCTCCTAGGACTACCCACATGGCCTGTTTTGGATGCAGGTAAGTGCAGGATGTGCGCAGAGGCTCGGTTAGGGCAAAAAACCGGGCCTCCCGGAAGTTTTGGAAGGCCGGAAATGGGCCTGTTTCCGGCTTCCAGAGAGCCTCCGGAGCCTGGGAGGGCCGTTTTCATCCTCCTGGAGGCTCGAGGAAAGCCTCCGGAGCCCAGGGAAGGCAAAAACACCCCCCTACACACACCATGGTGCAGGAGGCTGACTAGGCCACGCCCATCATGGCCACGTCCACCCAGCAACTGGGCAGTGAACCTTTTGCTAAAATTTTTGAAGCCCACCCCTGATCCTTCCCCATGCTGGTTTGCTGGTGGAGGAAGACCAATTCTGCTATTTCCTCCTCCCTCCCAAGAAGGTGGGAGCTACGGATCCAGAAAACAACAGAGAGAAGCTGGAAAATGATCTGTTTGCCTGGTCACGAATTCCTCTCGCCGACCTGATCCCCTCTAAATCTGAGAAGACGACGTCACAGGATTGCCTCCCGAAGGTCTTAAGTTTGTTTTGGAAAGGAAACATGTCTCCCGTCTATCAACAGGCCTTCTTCAATTTGGGTGAGTGGGAAGGGTGACTGGGGAAGTCAGAGGTCTCTACTCACTACGATACGGAAGAGGGGGAAATTGTGGTGAGAGAAACTGTCAACAAAGCGGATTCTCCTCTCCTCTCAATTTCTCATGAAGGATGGCTTTTCTGGCAAACTTTTCCTGCTCCTCTTTTCTCAGGGGCTCTGGGTTTTGTTTTGTTTTTTTGACAGAGTCAGGATTGTCTAAGCCAAGAGTGGCAAACTCGATTTCTTGATGAAACTTGATGAGGGCCGCATCAGGGTTGTGTTTGACCTCGGTGGGGAGGGGCTGGCCAAGGTAGGTGTAGCCAGTATGGAAGTAGCCAACTCGACATCACTTGTGTTGGGGGCGCCTGTGGCGGCCAAGTGCTAAGGCAGGACTTCCCTCAGACCCTCCTTCACTCTCATTATAATCTTCCTTCCTTCCCTTCTTCCTTTCCTCTTCATTCTCCTTTCTTCTTCCTTCCCCTCTTTCCTTCTTTTTCCTTTCTTCCTTGCTCTCTTCCCATCTTTCCTTCTTTTTGCCTTTCCTCTTTTATTTTCTCCTTTCCTGTCCCTTCTTACATGCTCACATGCAAAAGGGGAAACATTTCTCCTTTTGTTTTGTTTTTAGTTTGTTCTGCTAGCCCTCTGCCAGCAAACACAGAGCTTGGAGGGGCCATGCCTCCCCCAAACTCCCTTCTTGCTGGCAGAGGCACTGCGGGCCAGTCCTTTCCTTTGTCCAGAGCGTCCCAGTGGGCCAGATCTAAGCACTCATGGGCCACATCTGGCCCATGGGCCTTGAGTTTGACACCTCTGGTCTAAGCCTTAGAGATCTCCACCACAGCCCACCTAGTCTTCTCAGAAACTTGCATTAACTCACAGCTTCAACCCTCCGGGGTTGTGTTAGTTTTGTCTCTGACTACTTCCTAAGGCTGCCAGCTTTTGAAAACAAAGAGTACAGCCGTTGCTTCCTCCATCGGCTAATGAATGGACTGAGATGACCTTTGTCTCAGTGGGACTGGAGAAAAAGATTGAGTTGCAAAGTTGCGAACTCAGCTTGGCAGTGGAAGTGCATTGTCCGAAGATAAAATGAAGAACTTTTTGGAAGCTGAAAAAGGCACAGGAGGTGGAATTCTGATCCTTCCATTTTGCAGGCTTGCAAGAAGCACATATTCTTAAAGATAAGGGATCTCCAGCAATAAAGCAGAAATAGTTTCTAAGCCTCCTTTTAAAATCTCGCTGTATGTTGGACCTTATTAAGGTAAAGGTTCCCCTTGCACATACGTGCTAGTCGTTTCCAGCTCTAGGGGGCGGTGCTCATCTCCGTTACAAAGCCGAAGAGCCAGCGCTGTCTGAAGATGTCTCCGTGGTCATGTGGCTGGCATGACTAAACGCCGAAGGCGCACAGAACACTGT